GTTCAAAATATTCAAGCCTTATGTGGAGAACCAATCGGAGAATCGGATCAAAAGGCTTAGAATATATGGAGGTGGTGAATTTCTATCGAGAGAATTCATCAAACTATGTCAAGAGAGTGGCATACATCATGAGATAACGACTCCCTACTCTCCACAACAAAATGGTATTGCGGAAAGAAGAAACAGAACGCTTGTAGAGATGGCAAGATCAATGATCGAAGAGAAGAAGTTATCTAACAAGTTTTGGGCTGAAGCTATTGCAACATCAACATACTTGCAGAACAGATTGCCATCTAAGTCATTGGAAAGAGGAGTTACACCAATTGAGATATGGAGCGGAAAGAAACCAAGTGTTGATCACTTGAAAGTTTTTGGGTGTGTATGTTACATACACATACCGGATGAGAAGAGAAGAAAGCTTGACACTAAAGCCAAACAAGGGCTGTTCGTAGGCTACAACAACGAATCAAAAGGGTATAAAGTGTTCTTGCTAAATGAAGAAAAAATCGAAGTGTCAAGAGATGTGACATTCGATGAGAAGAAAACATGGAGTCATGATGAAAAAGGAGAAAGAAAATCGATTCTATCGCAAGTCAAGATCAACTCACAAGAACAAGGAGGAAATGATCTAAACGCTGAAATAGATCAAGTGAGGAACGCTTTGAATCAACTTCATCTTTCAAACAGGGCAGTTCAAAACTCAGAAGAAGAAGGAGAAATTTCTGTTGGTCCAAGAGGTTTCCGATCAATCAATGATCTCATGAACCAAACCGATGAAGTTGAAGGAGAGGCACTTATACATGAGATGTGTCTCATGATGGCTGAAGAACCACAAGCCTTGGAAGAAGCAATGAAAGATGGAAAATGGATAGAAGCCATGAGAGAAGAGTTGCGGATGATCGAGAAGAACAAAACATGGCAAGTTGTGGCAAGACCAAAAGACAAAAATGTGATCAGTGTCAAATGGATCTTTCGTTTGAAGACTGATGCAAGTGGAGAAGCAATCAAACACAAAGCAAGATTGGTGGCCAGAGGATTCACACAAGAGTATGGTGTGGATTATCTTGAAACTTTTGCACCGGTTTCAAGATATGATACAATAAGGATCGTAATGGCGATTGCGGCTCAACAAGGATGGAAAATCTTTCAAATGGATGTAAAGTCAGCATTCTTAAATGGAGTTTTGGAAGAAGAAGTTTACATAGAACAGCCACCAGGGTTCATAGAAGAAGGAAAAGTTCTTAAACTTCACAAAGCGCTATACGGTTTAAAGCAAGCTCCTAGAGCATGGTATGGACGTATTGATGGATATTTTATCAAGAATGGCTTTGTGAGAAGCATCAATGATGCAGCGCTTTATGTGAAGAAGACCTCAAAGGAGATAATGGTGGTTAGTTTATATGTTGATGACATCATAGTCACGGGAAGCAACATAAAGGAGATTGAACAATTCAAGGAGGAGATGAAGAATGAGTTTGAAATGACTGACTTAGGAGAGCTAAGTTACTTTCTCGGCATGGAAGTAACCCAAAACGAAGAAGGTATTTTCTTGTCACAAGAAAATTATGCAAAGAAGCTCTTGAAGAAATTTGGAATGCAAGACTGCAAAAGTCTGTCAACTCCTCATGGAAAGAAGAAGGAAGTCTTAAAGGAAAACCTTGAAGATGTTACAAAGTATAGAAGCATGATCGGAGGTTTGCTATATCTTTGTGCTTCACGGCCAGACATCATGTATGCAAGTTCATACCTTTCTCGTTACATGGCTGCTCCAACGATGCAACATTACCAAGAAGCCAAGCGAGTTCTAAGGTATGTTAAAGGTACTTTGAACTATGGCATTCAGTTCAAGCGAGTAGAAGAACCAGAGTTGGTGGGATTCTCCGATAGTGATTGGGGTGGTTCAGTGGAAGACAAGAAGAGTACAAGCGGCTATGTCTTTACGATTGGATCTGGTGCATGCTGTTGGAACTCAAGCAAGCAGAAGACGGTTGCTCAATCAACGGCTGAGGCCGAATACATTGCGATTTGTTCTGCAGCAAATCAAGCCATATGGCTACAAAGGCTAGTGAATGAAATCGGATTCAAGGCTGAAAAAGGTACAAGGATTCTATGTGATAACAAATCTGCAATTGCTATAGGAAAGAATCCAGTTCAACATCGTCGAACAAAGCACATCGACATCAAGTATCATTTCGTAAGAGAAGCTGAGCAAGAAGGAAAAATCAAGCTTGAACATTGTCCAGGAGAGTTTCAAGTCGCTGATATCTTAACCAAACCGTTAAACACGTTAAGGTTTGAGTCTCTACGAGAAGAGCTAGGCGTGAAGATGAAGCCATGATCAAGGAGGAGTGTTGGAAGTGATCAAGTCTTCATATTTATTTTATTAAGAGTCGTATAATATTAACGTTCGTATCACTCATAAGATACGAATGATATAAGTAACCGCTAAGTAGTTATTGTTGAAGAGTTGTGTCTCCACATTGAGACATCTGTTAGAGATGCAACTCTTAGTCAAAGTGTGTCTTGTAAACCTATAAATATTGCTTTCACTATCTAATAAAGTTATGCGGTTTACGTTATACAAACAAGAGAAAGAACAACAAAGAGATATATTGAGAGTTCGAACAAAACAGAGTGAGAGAAGACAAAACAGAGTAAAATCTGTGTTGTCCGATCCTTAAACACTTTGAGAGTTCAAAGTTCTACAATTTGTGGGTTTATACTTAGATGTCAAAGTGAATATGTTTTGGCTACTGTCCCAATACCTTATTCTCGTGGTGGTTGGTTCTAATATCTACAACATTGGCGGATCTATCGACCTAGGACCCCTCCTCTAGTGTCTTGGTTCTGGATTGCCAGTCTCACATGTGGCGCGAGGCTCCAAGCTTGTGGGTGGAGCTAATGTCACTCTCTGCTAGCGTCCTTGATGGAAAGATATATGTAGCAGGAAGATACAAAGATGTCAATGGCGATTCCAATTCCTTCAAGAACTTGTTCGACACAAAAACACAAGTTTGGGATCCTGATCCCATCCCTTGCAGCGAGACAAAAGGCAATTTTTACTCCAAAAGCGTATGTATTGAAATAAAGTTCCACGTGGCGAGTGATCACAATAAGTTGGCTGCTTACAATTCCAAAGAAGGTAGATGCGACCAGGTTGGACCAGAGATGAATAGTATTATGTTTTCATATTCTTATTGCGTGGTAGAAAATGTATTGTACTCTGGTTGTCATGGAGCGTTGACATGGTATGATACTGAGGTAAGAATGTGGAACAGTTTGAAGGGTTTGGTTGGACTACCTAGTTTCCCTTGTGGTGCTTCTATTCGATTGGCCGATTATGGTGGAAAGATAGCGGTTTTGTGGAACGATGATTGCCCTTCTTATTCGCCTGGTGGCAGATATGAGAAGATGATTTGGTGTGCGGTGATTTCGCTTGAAAGATGCAAAATTTATAAAATTTGCGGGAAAGTTGAGTGGTTTGATCATGTTCTTACAGTCCCTACACCATATGCTTTCGTCAAGGTTCTTGCTGCTACTGTATGATAAATGTGTCACAAAGCTTAAACATGTGTTCTTTTTGCTAATAGCATTTTTTTATTTGGAATGAATGTTTTCTTTTGGTGTATGCAACTATGAAAAAACGTTCCTTGCTAGTTGCTAAAAACGTTCAATTAAGGGCTATCTGTTTAGGGAATACAAGGACAAAAAGTACTACTTTGTATCTTCTTCTTATTTTCACACAAACAAGTCATTGAAACAGAGCATTTTCTGTCATTAGTACATTTAAGGGTTTGTTTTTACAAGTTACAAACGGAGGCAATCCAAGTTTAAAAACACTATTGTTTCATTAAGTCTATACGACATTGGAAACGTTTTAAAGTCACTATAAAACGTTTCCTATATTTCAAAAAGTTTAGGACACCAAGTATCGTTAGCTCAACTAGTAAAGACCCTAGGCGAATCTTAGAGGTCGCCAGTTCGAGTGACGCTTGGGACGAAACTAATATTAAATGTTGTGGTTTCGGGTCTGTGAGGATTACGGGTTTTGGCACAAAACCTCCTGGTATTCAAAAAAAAAAAAAAAAAAAGAAGTTTAGGACGGGGTGATTAGTAGGCATGTCCTAAACTTTTTGAATATAGGAAAAGTTTATCTCTTTGTTTTTTTTTTTCAAATTTTCTAGTGAAATTAATCTACAAATTTCCTAGGCAGCATATAGGACGGGGTATCCATATTATCCGTTTGCGTATTATTTATCTACAAAACTACTAATCACTCCGTCCTAAAATTTATCTGAAAATTAAAAAATAAACTGATAATTATTTGAAAAAAAAAATAGATACTGAAATGTATCTCTTTGTTTTTAATTTTCAAATTTCCTAGTGAACTTTTTACCTGTTCTAAAATCAACTCTTAGCCACATTAGTGAACTTTTACCCATTCCAAAGTCAACTCTCAGCAAAACTTAATGAAAGTTTGAAAAGTGAATTTAAATACATAAATTTTCTGAATCCATCTTGTAACTTGTCTTTAGCCAAATTAGTGAACATGTCTTTGGCCAAATTAGAGAACATTTATCCATTCCAAAATCAATGCTTAGCCAAATTAATGAAAACTTGAAAAGTGAATTTGGTTACACGAATTTAACCTTTTCTCTCTAGTAAGTTCGTAACCAGAAAATTCCATCCGATACTATATCAGAAAAAGTTCAGGTAATGTTTTTTACTATTCGAATTACCCGTTTCCGATTTTTATCCGCTATTGTCTGTTCCGATACCTTAAATAAATACGTTCAATGATTAGTATTTTTTTCCTTCTAAAATACATCAATATTTTTGTCTTCTAAAATAATAAAACTTAAGTTTGTACCTTTTTTGTTTTTGAGAATTTCCATATGTCGATGAATTAATTGAAAAATTTTAAGTTAACACTTTTCCTTAAGTTTTTTTTTTTTAATATGATTATTTATTTATATAGGGAATACTGTGTACGATAGACAACTCCCTTTGGTCGTGGCGAACGAAACCCTAATCATCACTTCTCCACTTTTGTTCGTCATCATCCTCTCCAAAATTTCTTCAATTTGATTCTGCAATTGCCTTATCCTCTCTCTGGATTCAATCTCAATTTCTTCTTAGCCCGCCATGGATGCTCAGCGAGCTCTGTTGGACGAACTTATGGGCGCAGGTGAATAATCGAGTACCAAAATCTAGTTTCAGTTTTATCCCCGAAATTGAGCCCTCCAAAGCTTTAATTGAGTGAATTTTTTGTTGAATTTGCTCTCGATTTTGCTTGCAGCTCGTAATCTGACAGACGAAGAGAGGAGAGGTTTCAAGGAGGTTAAGTGGGACGATAGAGAAGTTTGTGCATTCTATATGGTTCGATTTTGTCCTCATGACCTCTTTGTTAACACGAAAAGCGATCTTGGTTAGTCACACTATCTGTATCTACTTGCTTTTCTTTATGTTATCCTCCTAAGCTTCATTGTTGTCTTCAGGAGCCTGCTCGAGAATTCATGATCCAAAGTTGAAAGAGAGGTTAGGCCTTCATTGAGATCTTCATTATGTTTATTTGATTAAATTGCAAATCTGAATCGATTCGTGTGAGATAACTCATAACTACTCCTATAAGCATTTGTGGCTACCTTGCATGTTTATGTCCATCTATGTTTATCTGTAGAGGTTAAAATTAAGCCTATGAGAGCTCTATTTTACGCATTTATGTGACTGAGTATTGATTTTTTTCTGTTTCAGCTTTGAGAACTCTCCGAGGCATGATTCCTATGTGCCTAAATTTGAGGCTGAGCTTGCACAGTTTTGCGAGAAGTTGGTGCGTAATGCTTTTCATACCTTTTTTTTTTCATTAGAGTTGATTCTTCTCTATGCTAAGATTTGGAATTGGTTACAGGTGAATGATCTTGATAGGAAAGTTAGGCGTGGGCGAGAACGCCTTGCACAAGAAGTTGAACCGCCTCCACCACCTTCTCTGTCAGCAGAAAAAGCTGAACAATTGTCTGTTTTGGAGGAGAAAGTTAAGAACCTTTTGGAACAAGTGGAAGCACTTGGTGAAGAAGGCAAAGTGGATGAAGCTGAAGCACTGATGAGGAAGGTACTATTTGTTTACCATGCTCTAAAAGAAAGAGAGTTTCGAAGTTTTAACAAATCATACTGAATCTGGAATATGGTTTTCTGCTTGATTCCTCCCTATTTGCAGTTATACCCTATGTGACACCTTTATTATGATCATAAATTTAGTACACTGAGTGCTTATCTTTTGCAAACTCTGGTAGGTGGAAGGGCTTAATGCTGAGAAGACGGTGTTGTTACAACGACCAACTGACAAGGTACTCGCGATGGCTCAGGAGAAGAAGATGGCATTGTGTGAGGTTTGTGGTTCATTCCTTGTGGCTAATGATGCTGTAGAGAGAACGCAGTCTCATGTCACTGGAAAGCAACATGTTGGCTATGGCTTGGTTCGGGATTTTATTGCAGAACAAAAAGTAAGTCTCAGAACTAATACGTGAATGTTGTTGATTTAAGCTGTCATTCCTCGAAAGATGGGATAGTGATGCTTTTTTTTTTTTTTTTTCTATTCTAGGCTGCTAAAGATAAAGGAAAGGAAGAAGAAAGGCTAGTAAGAGGAAAAGAAGCAGATGATAAGAGGAAACCGAGGGAGAAGGAAAGCGAGAGTAAGAGGAGTGGTTCTAGTGATAGAGAAAGATATCGTGATCGGGACCGAGACAGAGATGGTGACAGACACAGAGACCGTGGTAGAGATCATAGAAAGCCTCATGACAGGAGATCAAGGAGTGGGAGAGAGGGCCGTGATCGAAGCAGATCACGATCTCCTCATGGAAGGTCTGGTCACCGAAGGGTGTCGAGAAGCCCCATTCGCCAGTACTAGTTTGAGACCCTCGTGGAAGGTCTGGTCACAAGAGGGTGTTGAGAAGCCCCATTTGCCAGTACTAGTTTGAGATAAGGTGTTGTCACTGTATCTTGGGGCCAGGAACTTTGCAAATTAATGAGGTAGACAATGTGACACCCCCCCTTATAATTTCATGAGCATGTGTTGTCTTTTTGGAACTTCCTTGTTAAAAATTTATGGACGAAAATTGTCTTTCTACCGGATCACAGCTATTCTAAGAGTTTGAGACCTTACCGATTATCCTTCATCGGTTATTTAAGAGGTCAAAAGCATTGAGGTAGGTATTACCGTAAAACTTTTACATTTTCATTGTATTTCTCGGTACTTGGGATGCTATAGCTTCATTTTATTTTTATATTGTCTTATGGTACCCCATTTCAAGTTTGATATACCTTTCTGATCTAAAGACTACACAGAATCGGGATTGTTGGGATCAAATGACACGAATACTGTTTGAGGTAACAAATATATAACAGAAGTCATCCTTACTAGAAGTTGGGTTTTGAATTTTGTTTATTTTCTTTGAGTTCTCTGTCTGCACTTAGGTGTGTATACACAGGAGGAATAATAATCTTTGGCTTTGGGGTTAGGTATAACTGTTGTATTTCTTGGCATCTTTGTTTGCAAAAAAGCTTTCAGTGTACTACAAGGAATCTCTGCAAATCCAGGAAACACACTGGATGGGTCTGCATGATATTTGATTCATATCGGGTAAACTCACTCCGTTGTTTATGAACTTTTGATAACCTTTTCCAAATTCCAAAGCTGGAGCACTATAGTAAAACAGTAGGTTCTCTGGTGGGAGCAAGAACTGTTTTGGTGGTCTTTGTGAGCAGAACCATCTTGAGTCTGTGTTGGCCTACCACAAAGCTGGAGGGCGTTTTTGTAAACCTGGCTTAAACCCTGATCTAAACATATATTACTTTGTGTTTTTTTTCTTTTCTTTTCATTTCTCCTCTACAGTCTCTTTGATTCAATTAAGAGCTCAGCATGTGAAACCCTTGTTTTAGGGCTCCTGGTTTTGCAGCTATACATAAGCTTCTTTTATTTGGAAAACTTGTAAGAATGCAAATGGAACATAAGTGTGATGAACGACTTTTGTCTGCTACCTTATTATAGTCTCTGGTCAACTCCTACGAAATTTTGCGGGGAAAAATGACAACATTTCTCAAAATAATAAATTGTTGATAAGAGTTGAAGAGCATTCAACAGTTAGATATCTACGAAAATCTTGGACGATTTCGTTGGGATCAGACAAAAACATTCTCGTTTTTATAGCCGAAGTTTTTTAATGCATAGAACAGCAACAGCCTATCGACTAGACAAGCTATGTGTCCTAATAAAACCAAAAAAAAATTATCTTACAAAAACTTATGAATGCATAAACACCACATATGTTGAGAAAATGCAAACAGAGACAATCAAAATTAACACAAGGGATGTTTGCAGTTTTGGAATAGATTTTGATTTTAGTTTTTGAAAATGCTACTTTTTATCCTCTACAGAATTGGAAAATAGGTTTTGAGATCTAAAAACCCTCTAATGTGGTGGCTTCCTCAATTTTTTCATCTAAGTTTCTTATAAAATTTGTTATCTTCTTAAATAATAATGTATCCATAATATGACTTAAATATTTTTTTTTTTTTTCTTATACAAGAGTACACCAAAAATTGCATTATCTATTTGTTAAGCATCTCAGCATATTAATTGTAAAAAAAAAAAAAACATCTCAACATATATTTTGTTTTTGTTTGGTAGGAGAATATCTCAACATATTTAGTTATTGGATTTTCTTCTGCAGTAAGACGGCACCGTTTTACTGAAACTTAGCTAAATTAATGAGTTGGGTGAGTCAACGAAAGAGAAGAAGACCAAATTAGTCTTAAAACTCGTTTGGTAACAGTTTGGTTTAAAGCACAGAAACAGTCCTTAATACCTTTCAATGTCATTAAGAAATAAAAGTTAAAACAAAAAACAACACTCAGAGGAAGAAGAAGACGAACCCTTTGAGGAAGAGATCACTCTTCGGTTTCTCCAATCCTTCATATGGTTCGTGAAGATCCTTTATTCTCTCCAATTTTCAATTCAATTTTTGGCTGATCTAATTTTTGATTTCAGATGTCGGACGGAGGAGCACCGTCGAGGTACGTGAAGTTGACGAAAGAACAAGCTCCGGTCGATGAGATTAATCCCGGCGAACTTAATCAGCCCATTGAAGTTTCTCATGTATGTCTCTTTCTTCTACTGATCTGATTTTACAATTACGCATCCCAATTCTGATTTCACCTATTTACGATTCAATCGAGAATGTTAGTGATCTGTGAAAGAGATCCGTAATTCATGTTCTTCAAATGATCAATTCGATTTGGTGTTTTGTCAATTTGACTAAGGCATGCTCGATTAGTGACTCTTAGATCAGAGTCTATTTGGATCTTTGCTCTGATTCTGTGTAAACTCATCCGCAGCTAGCTGTTCACAAATGCAACGAGTGTGGCCAACCTTTGCCTGAGAATTTTGAAGCTCCTGCTGATGAGCCGTGGACTACCGGAATATTCGGCTGCACTGAGGACATGAATAGTTGTAAGTTCTATCTAAATGTTGCACAGATCTGTATAAATCCATCATCAGTTGATTGATCTCACTGGAATTAAGAGCTTAGTCTCAGTATAATATCGGTTTTTTTCCATTCGATTTGCCTCGGTTTTGATTCACTTCTCATGTGTAATACTCTCTTTTACAGTTTGGCTGGGACTTTTTTGCCCAAGTGTTCTATTTGGGCGTGTCTATGAAACTCTGAGTGATGAGGAAACCTCGTGGACCAAAGCATGTATTTGCCATTCCATTGTAGTAGAAGGCGGTCTTACTGCCGCATCGATGCTTACTTGTGTTCCCGGTATTGATCCGCATACGTCTTTTCTTATATGGGAAGGTTTGATGTTTGTTTGGTGGATGTGTGGGATATACACCGGAAATGTCCGCCAGACTCTGCAAAGGAAATATCATCTCCAGGTAATCAGAGTTTCATTAACATCTATAATCGATAAAACTGCGAAAAGAATCTGAAAATGTGTGTTTTTTGTTTTGGTGTTGATGGAAACAGAACGCTCCATGTGATCCATGTATGGTGCATTGTTGCCTTCACTTTTGTGCGGTTTGCCAAGAGCACCGTGAGATGAAGAACCGTCTTTCGGATAACTTTGTGATGCCCATGACTGTTATTAACCCACCACCAGTTCAAGAGATGAGTGCCTCTGGTGACAGAGACCACCACCACAACTCTGTCCCGGTTTCACACCATAGCTCTGATCTTGAGATGCGGCCATTGTAGTCTCAATGTTGCCCACCAGATTCAAGGTTTTGTTTTGCCTGAATCTACTTTTTATATGTAAACCGATTTGGTTTGTTTCAAAATTCAAACTTATATACTAGATAGATTCTGGTTTTCCATGTATAATCATGATTTATCCTTGTCTCAAAATTAAGATTTTCTATAAAAAAAATTAACTATTTATCGTCAAAAAATATCTGATTTGAGTTATTCTACTAGATATGCATTATTTTTTCTATACGTAGCTTTGCTAAATTTCTCTTTTTTTGGATAAATATGAATTTTTTTAAAGAATCTTTAAAAGATCGTAACACGTTTTGCAATATATATTTTTATATATCTAGTCCTATTAAAATAACAAAAAAACCAAACTTTTTCTTATAAGTAACGATAACTACGAAATTAGGTACACAAGTCTCTGCCCTACGTTTATTGATTAGATGATACAAAGGACCACTTCAACCCCAGAGAAGATGATCGGAGGAAAGATTCCTGACGGCTACTTACCTTTTTCATCGGCGGAGTCACGAGTTTCTGCATCACTACCATGTTTTCCGGCGAGTGTTGAAGGGTTACGTAGACGGAAGAGTTTAGCTGAAGCCGGGAAGAGAGATATCTTCTACGGAGAAGATGACGTGGCAGATTTGATGTTTAGAGAAGAGGAAGTGGAACAAGACACGGTCATGAGAGCTTATAGAAGTAACGAAGCTATGAAATCGATCCAAGATACGAGAAGAAGACAAAGAAGGTTCTTTTGTTTTGAATGTTTTGACTTTCTCAAACTTTTTTTCTCTAGAGATCGAAACTAATAACCCTAACAACAAGCAATGTTTCTTGTCTCTCTTTATCTTGTAAATTCTTTAGTTCGTAATTTAATGAAAAGCAAAAAAAAAGATGTTCTTAGCCTTGTTAAAAAAATGGGATATATGTGATCCGAAAATTGACAAGAGTTTTATTATTATACATATATAACAACAGAACATTGCAATACATAAAAGTTTTGAACATTTGACTACAAATTTGGCAGATTTTACAACAGAGTAATAATGCCCGGAGAAGAAGAGAGTTTGTGTATATAAGAATTTTCCGAGCACATGAACTGCGAGCACTTACATTACATTACATAGCATATGTTAAATGTAGAACATCATCTCTTCTTGAAGAATTTGCTACCTCTCTTTCCGATTCCGGTACCTTCTAGACTCGATGAGAGATGAGACCTTGTGTCTGGTCTCCACGTTAGTTCTTTGAGAAGGGAGAACAGAGACGAGAGTGCCGCTGAAATTTCGCTGTCTTTTATGTTCTTACATGACACTACTCTCATGCTCTCAAGCTCTTCCCAGTGTAGAATTACTGACTCTAAACCGCTTGTTGTTAGGATTGAGCATCCTTCCAATGACAAAAACCGCACCCTCCTGCAAGAAACAAAGATGATCAAAATCCTATCTTTCACACCTTAGAGTAAAACTAGCATAAGAGTTCATTATTTCAAGGGAAATTCTTTTTAGGGTTTTGTGAAAGTTGTTAGATTTATCAGCACACAAATTAAAGTGGAAAACAATGAATGATCTTCACCATTCATATTAACCATATTATCACATGCAACATCAACACCAAGTTTAAGTTTCTATGATATAGTTCAGTTAAAGAACACATTAGTTTCTGAGAAGCTGCAATTTCACATTTTGGCAGTTAAATTGATGGGATCGTGTGACATAAAGAGACCTAAGAGGAACAACAGAAAACTACGGATTCTGCTCTTTGAAGTAACCATTTGAATAACAATCAATGAACTCAATAACTAAAGGGAAACATGTATAGGGAAGTGATCTAAAGCCTACCTGAAAGCTTTAGCCAAGCTGAAAGAATCATCATCCAGTCCCCAACAATCCTGAATATTAACCTCTGTTGCTCTGTCACACACTTTAAACAACGCTCTCATCCCCTCCTTGTCATTCAAACAACACCTCTTGAGTTGCAAACTCTCCAGAGCCGGACAAGATCCCAGCAACTTTTCCGGTCCAGGACTAGAATCTATCTTTCTACAAGAAGAAATTCTCAATGTCTTCAAACTCTCAAAGTACGAAAGCGCCGCTATCCAACCATCATCCATCCTATGGTCACAAATACTCAACTCATCAAGCACTTCACAACATTGCCCAATTGCTTTAATCCCATCAAAACTACCTTCACAACCACTAAGCTCCAGCTTCACCAATCTCTTACACCCTTGTGCTAAAATCGTCAAACCTATATCCGACACCGATGAACTATACAATCCATCAACACTTCCAACCAATCTCAAACCCCTCAGATTCTCACAAGCAGCAATACCACGCAAGAGATTATCACTACACTTATGCAACTCTAACTCTTGCAAATCAGAACAGTCCTCAGCTAAACTCAATAATCCCAATTCAGTAGCATTAATCACTACAAGCTTAAGCAAATCAAAACTCCCTCTTCCTAATACCCTAAGCCCTCTATCAACCATTTCATTATCCAACAGATTCTCCTCAACAAAATCCCAATTCGACGACGAATCGGTCGATATATGAAACGAAATCGACTTATGACATAGCAAAATCCCCGAATTCCTCGACGGATTCAAACACGCGTTAACCAAATCAACATTCGTAAGCTTAGGAAACCTCGAAACAAGCCTCCCAGACATAACAAAATCCCAATCAAAAACCTTCATTCTCCGTAAACGCCGTCCTTGTAGACTCAACCACCGTTTACACACGAGTGCCACATCGTTGTTCTGAGATTCAGGAAGCTTCTCAAGGATCTTAAGAAGGAGAGAATCTGACAAGGAAAGTGTTCGATCGACGTCGGAGAAATCAGAAGATAAGGATTTGAACCTGGATCTTGGTGATTGAGCTTGAATAACGGCGGAGACTACTTGCTTGAACGACGTCGTCGGATGGTTTAACCATGGACCGGTCCAGCTTGAACGTCGTCTTCTCAGAGGCGATTTGGGACTCGTCGGTAACTTCTCCATAAACGACATCGTTTTCGATTTCTTCTTCACGTTGGATTGGATCTCTCCTCTGGTTTGATTTAGCGGCGGATTACGAACTGTTCTAACGGATACATTGAAAGAGATGTTTTGGTAGAGAGAGAGAGAGAGATAACGAAAGAGAAAAGAGACAAGTTCGAATTTTTATTTTTTTATTTTTTGGGGTAAAATAAAATAAATAAATAAAATGGTTAATGGGAATCATTTTGAGTTGACCTTTGACTTAGAATGAGACAAAGTCACAAAGATAGTGTTGTGCACATCTCTCTACTTAAATTGTGTAAAATGGTCTACTATACTTTACTAACTTTAGCCTTAAAACATTGGATTATGTTGTTAATTATTAGATTAGGATTAGCTTAATATGCGGATTTAAGATAAGAAAAAATGTTGATTGATTTTTTCCAAAAATTCCTTTCGAATTTTATGATAATTACATTACAAATTTACAACCACTTTGATAACCACACCTCGACTACGAAGTGTGTGACAAGTAAAAACATAAAGTGTTTGTGGATTAGGAGATCGAAGCCGCTGTATCTTTTTCATTCAAGATTGTTGTTGATTGCAAGTATTTATTGAGTAGTTAACAAAATAAATGTAATGTTTACATGAACTAGTACAAACATGTATATAGTTTGAAAGAAAAGAAAAATGTATGTAGTCTTTACAAAATATATTTCTAATGTATGTTAAAATATGATATATAATCATATATATATATATATTATTATTCATTTCAAAAATTTGATGATTTTCACAAACATATTATAATAATACTTTTACCAAAATGTAAATATGATATTGCCAGTATGGTATTGTACACTAAGATCTTATCGCGAGAATGGCAGGCATTTGTCTCATCACTCGTGAAACCTCTTCGTAAGTCTGTTGTTGTTGTTGTTCATCTTTGAAAATGAATGTGTTCCTCTCGGGCACTATAGATGTTGCTGGACTACAACCCCAAAAAAAACTGTTCCATCTTTATATTTTTTCGGGTTGCAAGACTCTTATCTCCTAAGCGTGTCGCCGTGGTAAGCGTTTGAACCTCAGACAGAAAATGGATTTGATGTCATTAGTGAGTAAGTAATCGTTTTCGTCGCTAACATTGTTTTTGAAATCCTCATTCAAATTATATTTCCATTTGTTCATTAATGATATAACATTTGAATTTTAAAAAGTTGTGTCAATTTGGGTGGGCATACCAATTTTCCGTGTCAAAGTATATATGTATCTATTTGTTCATTTCGTTTCAATTTGAAATGAAGGTTTTGGGCATAAAGTTTATTATATCTCAAATTATATAAAGTCTCAACTTTAATTCGTTTTCTTACTCAAGGTAAAACTGTTTTTTCATTAAAACTTTTGATTGGTTGGAACAGAGGAAATTAATGACATAATATGCGAAAAAGTAAAACTGATCTTATTCTTTTGGGATGAACCACGAAGCAGTGAATGTCACTATCATCAGTTTATTACAAGGAAACTAAAGTTTGTTGCAGGGCATCATTAATTATTACCGGACCACTCGATCTCTGATTTTTAGAGATTTTTTTTTTCCTTTGCCTTCTCAAATTATTATAAAATAATGTAAAAGTCTTTAATAATTTTACCTATTTTTTTCTTTTTTGGGGACAAAACTTGAGTTATTCTTTGAGACAGTTTTATAAATATACATTTTTTTTTTTTTTTTTTTTTTTTTTCTCAAAGTATAAATATACATTTATGATTATAAATACAATTGATATTCATTTGCAGATAGAATATCAACTACATGGACATAGGGCATTTACACGCATGCATACACACGCACATAAGACAAAATTATTGCTATTGTTTCGTTCTTGTTTTTTTTTTGGTAAAATTTGTGTTCATGTTTTAAGAGAGAGAGAGAGAGCAAGCCAATGGAGGATGAGAAGCTAGGGTTTAGGAAAAAATATCATCGATATGAAAAATACAAATTGACAAAGATTTCATATGGGTACTCAGAGAATCAAATCCAAAACAAGGAAACATTCACCACAAGAATCCTCATCGGAGAATCACCGGAAATCAGAAACAAAAGAGAAAGTGATGATGATACCAACAAAATTTAAAATAAAAGAGACAGGCACTAAAATATATATATATATAAACTTCATTACTATCATCACCCATCATTTCATTTCATTACATCAAATTTGATCATCCTATATACATAAAATGTCTGATCTTTTTACTAATTACATCATCCATCATCATCTTTACTTCTTACATAACCGTATTTATATCAATAAAAATAAGAACTTGATCATCCTATATACATAAAATGTATGATCTTTTTACTAATTACATGCATCATCTTTACTTCTTACACATATAAACCTGATGATGAGATGATGATCTAGATCACATGTTACGAATCTTACGATGTTGAGTGACGATGATCCTCACAGCAACAGACAGAAGCCCAACCAAAACTATAATCACACCAGTCATCAACGACACTACTGAACTCAGAAACCTCTCTCGCATGGTTGCAGCAAAAGCCCAAATCAATAAGGCTAAGAAAAACAAGAAAAGCATAACCCTCCACATCTCTTCTTTCTCTCTCTCTTTTTTTCTTTCTCTTTGCTGTTTCTCTAAAACTTTTGCTTGGGGATGTTATATCATTCTTAGTCTATATAAAGGCCAAGTAATTTTGGACACAAAACAAAGAAATACAAAGTTTTGGTATCATGAGTTTATTATCAATATAAATTTTAGTAATTTCCACCCAAGCAAATTAAACACTCAGACGCTGACATGCAAACTTGGGATACAACTAAGTAAAGATATTTAATATATATGCCATTTTGAGAAATATGTATGCATTTAATTTTCCATTACACCAAAGAAAACACATAAATACGTTATACAAACTAAAGAAAAACAAGGTTTTGGTATCATGAGTTTTTTTTTTCAATATGAATTTTAGTAATTTCTACGCAAGCAAATTAAACTCTCACACGCTCACATGCAAACTTGGACACGACTAAGTAAAGAAATTTGATATGCCATTTTAGAAATATGTATGCATTTTTCCATTAATTACACCAAACAAAAAAATACGATATACAAATTAAAGAAAAACAAGGTTTTAGTTTCATGAGTTTTATTTTCAATATGAATTTTAGCAATTTACACACATGCAAATTAAACTCCCACACGCTCACATGCAAACCTGGATACAACTAAGTAAAGAAATTTGATATGCCATTTTTAGAAATTTTGATGCATTTATTTTTCCATTACACCAACACCACATTTTTTCATGCATGGCCACAACAACTAAGAAATTCAAACTAGTACTCTAGATGGTATATTTCCTCATATAAATTAATTATTAATCTACCTACCGTAGAAGCTTTCTCTTGTCAAAATATTTATTTATATATATCAAAACTATAAGCTTATCAAGTTCCTCAAAAGGGACGAGATTGCCTTGCAATCCAACAGTGTAATTAACCCTTTGCAAAATAAAGGACTAATTAAGCCATATTCTGCTTTAATTGTAATCTTCCAATGCATCAAATACAACGTTATAGAAGCTTTTAATTGCCACCTCCATAATTTTGGTTTGTACGTAGTTTGTTTGGCTTATCTCCATGAATTCATCAACAAAATATTTCCTCCAATTCCTTCATCCACTTGGAACCTTGCAGGGCACAATCAACTTATATTTTCCATATCAATGATTGTTTGTCACTCTTCCATCTATTAATTGGCGGCGTTTACCGCAACCTCTCTCTTCCTTACCGAATTAATTACTAATTGTTAAACATAAGGAAAATACGTATACATTATATACACTAGTAATATTTCTTTCCACTTCATTACATTTAATTTAATTCCTCCGGGCAACTTTAAACAGATATTAAGTTAACGATAAACTTTCTAATTAAGTACATTAGCTAGTTTTGAAAATGCAGGTTCGCACCATCCAGAATTCCAGATTTATCTCCAAACCATTTATGCAACGTAACTTAAGAAGATGTATCTTCTTATTAATTTCACCCAAACAAGTTATCGAAACAGAGCATACTCTGTTATTACTTATTAGTACATTTGATTGCTTGACAATTAAGTTACAGGCAATCCAACTTTTAAAACACTTTGATTACGTATGGTTCTCGAAATGTTTTTACTTACTTAGGTTGTCGTCTTTCTGGTCCTCCTCGTTTGCATCCATATCTTTTTGTTCCGGCTCTCTTTTTGTTGGGCTTTTGGGTTTGTTTCTCTTCGGCTGCTTGAATAAGTTATTCTCAGTGGATAGAGCTTCTGGCTAGAGATTTGCTCCCACATGTCTAGTCGTTTGCGTTTAAGCCTTAGAGAGTGTGTGTCTTTTGGAATTTGGGCGATTATATATAGGTTTAGGTTGTCCGACAGTTCTTTGAGCAGATTTTGAAGCTTTCTCAACCGGAACAATCTGGACAAAAGCAATCAGCGATAGAAACTCATCAATTTCGGAAAAAATGCCTGAACAAATAGGATATCCTTTCTTGATTTTTATTTGTGGCTCATTTATCACGTTTATCGTTGGAGTAATGCTGCTGATATATGTTCGAGATGCACAAAACTATTTCGTTTATCTATTTTTTTCTGTCTTTTCCTTCTTTTGAAGTTTTTGCCGGCTTTTTGGAAGAAACATAAAAAGTTTTTGGCTTTTACGTTTTGATACATAATATATAAAGGAAAATGCGTTTATGAAAAGCGAAAATGACAGCGTACTTAACTTAATTATACAAATATTACAAGCGTGATATCATAGATATTAATTGATTTTACATAATAGATTTGGTAATATTCCTTTTGTTAGAAAGATATATTAGCCATAATGGTAATAAGTATAGATGAGCACGTAATCATAAATGTATAGTAAAGGGCTTTTAAAGTTATAAATAGAAAAGTAGATAATTGTCCACGAACCACCGATTATTGAAAAAGAAAAAAAAAAGACACAAGCTGCTTTGTTGCAAAGGTAAATTATTATTTGTGAGATCTCTCTAACTATATTCTTCTTCTCATTCGTCTTCTTCTTCTTCTTCATAACATGCATCCTCGTCTAAAACTGGCAGGTTCTCTTGACGTAGCTAGCGATGATGGAGTCTGTCCTTGAATTCTTAAAGGAGCAAGACCTAACTCTTGATCTTATGATCATATTTCTAGGCTTGGTGACATTCATTGTGTTCATGATTTCGTTCTTCCCATACAGGAAACGTATTCGAGATTGGCAACTTAATGAATTCGGAGTCGCTATATCAAACCACAAATATGTCCTCTTTGTGTTCTTCTTCTTCTACGGCGCTACAACAGTACCTAACGACAGTTGCGCTCAGAACCAAAGGGAATGGGGTCTTGTTGTGTTGAGGTTTGTGACCAAAAGTTGCTTCATCATTGTCTTTTATGTGGTCCTCTGCAAGGTTTGTGCTATTTTACTTTCCAAACCACCCTTGGAATCCACGGACGACCTTCAAGACAAGAGCCAATGACCTGTGATGGATCTTGTAGCTAGGGACCTCGGGTTCATGCTTATATTCAATAAACCTTTTTTATTATATAGTAATTAGGATCTTCTTCTATCTAATTACTACTAGGTAAGAGCGGAATAAATCTTCTGCGATATAATCTTATAAATAATTGTATTTATAGTGAACAAATATATTAGATTAGTTTATTAATTTTTTTTACTATATTTCAAGAGTATATAGTGATTGTGTTTGGTTTTATGATATGATATTCAACACAATTCAAAAATCAAACCCGGAGTTTTTCCAGCTAGATTATTGGATCTCTGGGTTGAATTGGTATTATAAATGGTCTAATGAATTTCAGTTATAATATTAAAATATATGTATATGCACACACATATGTACGATAAATCTCTTTTTCTAATAATCTTACTTCGATATATATAATATATTATATATTTTATATATAGAAATAAATAATTAGACGCATATATATAAGACTTTTACCAAAGAAATCTATATAAATAAATGTTCATTTTTTCAAAAAACAATTTATATTGATAAATATATAGTTGTCTGTAGTGCATGATATTTGCATGATAATTTTGTATCAATTTTTAAGTCATATAATTTAATGGAATGTATTTTACAAACCAATATTTCTCGAGTTTTCACATTGGAAGATCCCAAAAAGAAGTGGATGAATTTACAATGCGGCATTGAGAGGGATAGACCCACTAAGGAGTAATGGGGTCACTTGACCCCGGTAAATAATCAAATAACATATTTTTGCAAGAATTTGTCAAAGTATCAGTAGCACAATTGATCATTTCCAAGGTGTTGACACCCTTCAACCCTGTGTTTGAATTAGCTTTAATTACATGCTTTTTCTTGTCTTATATATATTGTTTTTCTTTTAAAAATTACAGTAATTAATATACCATTATTCATTGCTTATGAAATTGATTTTGTTTTTGTGGGTTTGTATAATATTATAACACAGTTAGTTATATAATATTGTTTAAAAAAATTTTGACCCCCGTAAAATTTATTTCTTAGGTCCGCCAAGTCACTTTCCATTAGATAATGCAGTTTGCATCAACGGTGCAATCTATTACAAAGCAGCGGAAATGTATCCGAACAGGAGTTGTGTTTTGGTGAGTTTCGTTGTTAGGTCCGAGAAATTTAATCATGTCCTGACTCCCCATAACATGATGATTAGCCATAGCGATTCCACTCTTATAAACTACCAAGGGAAGTTAGCATGCATATGTCGCAATAACTTCATCAACAAGGATGCGGATATGTGGATTATGGAGGATGCCGAGAAACAAGAATGGTCCAAAATTACACTTTTTGCATGCTTTAAGGTATAACAAGTCGGATCAAAAGTGCAGATCAGATGCCACTCATCCTCTTGGTGAATTTGTTATACTCCACCACAAATATAGGAGTAGGTAGGCCTGTCAATTTGAAGCCAAGTTACCTAAAAGCTTTAGCCAAACTGAAAGAATCATCACTCAATCCTAGCAATCCTAAATACTAACCTCTGTTGCTCCATCACACAATTAAAACAACGCTCTCATCCCCTCCTTGTCATTCAAACAACACCTCTTGAGTTGCAAACTCACCATAGCTGGACAAGACCGCAACAACTTTTCCGGTCCAGAACTAGCGTCTATCTTTCTACACAACGAAATCCTCAATATCTTCAAACTCTCAAAATACGAAAGCGCAGCTATCCAACCATCATCCATTCTATGATCACAAATAGTAAGCTCATCAAGCACTTCACAGCATTGCCCAATTGCTTTAGTCCCATCAAAGCTACCTTCACAACCACTAAGCTCAAGCTTCACCAAACTCCTACACCCTTGTGCTAAGAACGTTAACCCTATATCCGACACCGATAAACTCTAGCGCCTAATAACTCTACCACGTAACTCATTCATCCTACTAGTTCTACCGTGATAATCTACCAAAATATATTAGCTCTACCGTCATTACAGTGACATACTTTTGTTGTGGCGGGACATTTTTCCGCTTAAAACTCACCTTCTTCCTCTGACGTGGCAGCATATTTTAATGGCAGTTTCGTAATAATTTTTTTCTACAACATCAATTCAAGGGTTATTTTGCCATTAATCAAATTGTACCGTCTATGTTTCTAATAAACAAACTTTTATGTGTTATTTTAGTAACTCACCTTATTTTTTTTAACTCATGGTGTACATTATTTATATGTTAGTGCTCCAAAAAAAAAAAAAAATCTTATATATCAATTAGGGTTTACCAAAAAAAAGAGAGCGAGAGAGAAGACGCATATATGAAGCCATCACAGAGACCTCACAATCTCCTCGACATCACAGCTTCTCCGGCCGGGATCATGGCCGGAAAAAGATCCTGCAATATCAATATCCCTCTGGATCATGGTGGGGATACTCAAGAAACTTCCGGCGAAGTCTCTCGCGAGGTTCCAATGCGTCTCGAAGCAATGGACAAGTATTATAGTCATAAACTCGATCGTGACTCGATCTTTGACTCAACCACCATCGTGTGATCCCCACTTCATTTTCTCGCATTCTAACAGTCAATTTTCCTTCGTCTTCTCGCATGTTCATGAACCTCATCAAATCACAAACCAAGAACAACAACTCTACCACGAGGAAATCTGTGGAAAAGGCTATGGTATTGAGACAAGGTTTCAATACCTACGGGGCTTGGTCGGGTTTTGGAGATCATCATATTGTTATTGTCAGTTCACATTCACAATATACAACCCTACAACGAAACAAACTGTTTCCTTACCCTATTTGCCCTCAACCTCAAGATGGATTTACTACTTCTTCGGGTACGACCCTTTGAAGAATCAATACAAAGTAGTGTGCCTAGCTATACAAATAGATCCGTCCAAAAACTTGTCTTGTCGAGTTTTCACATTGGGAGATCCCAAAAAGAAGTGGATGAGAATTCAATGCGGCATTGGAAGTCACTTTCCATTAGATAATGCAGTTTGCATCAACGGGGCAATCTATTACAAAGCAACGAAAATGAAACCGAACGAAAGTTCTGTTTTGGTGAGTTTCGATGTTAGGTCCGAGAAATTTAATCATGTCCGGACTCCCAATGACATGGCGATTTACCGTAGAGATTCCACTCTTATAAACTACCAAGGGAAGTTAGCATTCATATGTCGCAATAACATGATCAACGAGGATGCAGATATGTGGGTTATGGAGGATGCCGAGAAACAAGAATGGTCCAAGATTACATTTTTTGGCATGCTTCAAGGTATAACAAGTGGGATCAGAATTGGGGATGTTACTCATCCTAGTGGTGAATTCGTTATACTCCATCAAAATTATTTGAGTGGGTATGCATCCTACGTTTATTATTATGATCCGAAACGAAATTGTCGTAGAAGTGTTGAAATCCAAACTACAACGTCGTCAGAGAGAATAACCCCTAGTGATTATTTCACAATGTGGCCTGTCACGGATCATGTTGAGAATATCATGTGTTTGTCGTTGCATTAGTTGAGACTGTTTTTTTTTTTTTTACTCAAACATTGTATTTTTGAATCTCTTATCAGCTAAAATTGAAATTTAGTATTGTGAAGGGCAAGAGTTTTATTACTTTACATAACAACAGAACATTGCTATACATAAGAGTTTGGGACGTATTATTTTACAAGAGAGTTTGTCTATATCAAGAGTTTGCACTTACAGAACATAACATATGTTCAATGTAGAACACTCTTCTTGAAGAATTTGCTGCCTCTCTTTCCAATCCCGGCACCTTCAAGACTCGAAGAGAGATGAGACCTAGTGTCTGGTCTCCACGTTAGTTCTTTGAGAAGTGAGAACAAAGACGAGAGCGCGGGTGATATTTCGCTGTCTTTTATGCTTTTACATGATACTACTCTCATGCTCTCAAGCTCTTCCCAGTATAAAATCACCGACTCTAAACCGCCTGATGTTAAGACTGAGCATCCTTCCAAAGAGAGAAACCTCACCCTCCTGCAAGAACAAAAAGGATGATCAAAAGCCCGCCGAGAAGATCGATGAAGCAAAACATATACAAGGACAAGTTACCTGAAGGCTTTAGCCAAACTGAAAGAATCATCACTCAATCCCCAACAATCCTGAATACTAACCTCTGTTGCTCCATCACACACTTTAAACAACGCTCTCATCCCCTCCTTGTCATTCAAACAACACCTCTTGAGTTGCAAACTCTCCATAGCTGGACAAGACCGCAACAACTTTTCCGGTCCAGGACTAGCGTCTATCTTTCTACACGACGAAATCCTCAATATCTTCAAACTCTCAAAATACGAAAGCGCAGCTATCCAACCATCATCCATTCTATGATCAACAATAGTCAGCTCATCAAGCACTTCACAACATTGCCCAATTGCTTTAATCCCATCAAAACTACCTTCACAACCACTAAGCTCAAGCTTCACCAAACTCCTACACCCTTGTGCTAAGAACGTTAACCCTATATCCGACACCGATGAACTATACAATCCGTCTACGCTTCCTACCAATCTCAACCCCCTCAGATTCTTACACGCAGCAATACCATGCAAGAGGTTATCATTACACTTGTGCAATTCTAACTCTTGCAAATCAGAACAGTCTTCAGCTAAACTCAGTAATCCCAATTCAGTAGCGTTAATCACTACAAGTTTAAGCAAATCACAATTCCCTCTGCTTAATACGCTAAGCCCTCTATCAATTACGTCACTGTGCAATAAATTCTCCTCAAGAAACTCCCAATTCGATGACTCTGAAGATAAATGCATACAAATCGACTTGTGACAGAGCAAAATACCCGAATTCGGCGGCGGATTCATACACGCGTTCACCAAATCGACATGCGTAAGCTTGGGGAATCTCGTGGTAAGTCTCTCAGACAAGACAAAATCAAAATCAAGAACCTTTAGACTCCGTAAACGTCGTCCCTGAAGATTCAACCACCGTTTGCAGACAAGTGAAACATCGTTGCTCTGTGATTCAGGAAGCTTCTCAAGGATCTTGAGAAGAAGAGAATCGGATAAAGAGAGAGTTGAATCGATTTCTGAGGATTCGATTTCATTGAAAGGCTTCTCATTTTTAGAGGGATTTCGGACATGCTTATCAAATTCAGACATTTCTTGTTGCTTCAGCTATATCTTCTTTAACTGAAATTGCGCGTCTTTTATTGTCTTAACCCAGAAATAGTGGTCTTTGGACAAGGACAAGGACAAGGACCAGATTGAGTTAGAGTCTTCGTCTTCGAGTTTTTTCGGTTCGGTAAGTTCCGGTTTTGTTTTATTTGGTTATGGAAGAAATTGGTTCTGATTTAAACCGGAAAGAGAAATTTGGTTCGGTTTGGTTCAGAGAGAGAAGAAATAAACAAATATAGTATCTCTTGTAGTATAATATTTGGAGCAATCAATGAGAACAGCTTTTTCACTCAAAAGCACACTTCCCCATCAAAGTTTCTTGCTTTTCGTCTCTTTCAACTGTTATAGATTTTCATTTCTATCATCTTTGTTTCTTTATCAGCTTTTATGTTTCCTCTCATAGATCTCACAGACTCTCTCTTCTTCTTCTTCAAACTATAATGGAGTCTTCTAAGCATAATAAACTCTGTTCTTGCTTTTATCTTTGCCTCTTCTTGACTTTAGTTGCAGCTGAACCTCAAACAGAATCTCTTCTCACTTTAAAATCTCAACTCACCGACAATTTCAACAGCTTAAAAGACTGGTTCATTATCACTCCTGGAGTTTCCGACAAAGTTGTCGCTTGTTGTTCTTGGTCTGGTGTCCGATGTAACCAAAACTCAACTTCTGTTGTCTCCCTCGACCTCTCTTCCAAGAATCTCGCAGGGAGTTTGTCAGGGAAGGAGTTCCTCGTCTTCACTGAACTTCTTGAACTCAACATCAGTGACAACTCGTTTTCCGGCGAGTTTCCGACTGAGATCTTCTTTAACTTGACCAATCTCAGAAGCCTTGACATTAGCCGAAACAACTTCTCCGGACGTTTCCCAGACGGTAACGGTGGTGGTGGCTCAAGTCTCAAGAATCTGATCCTTCTCGACGCCTTGAGCAATAGCTTCTCCGGTCCATTACCGATCCATCTCTCTCAGTTAGAGAATCTCAAGGTACTGAATCTCGCTGGGAGTTACTTCACTGGCTCGATTCCGAGTCAGTACGGATCTTTCAAGAATCTTGAGTTTCTTCATCTTGGTGGGAATTTACTAAGTGGGCACATACCACAAGAGCTTGGGAATCTCACAACTTTGACTCACATGGAGATTGGATATAACTCATATGAAGGAGTAATCCCTTGGCAAATAGGTTACATGAGTGAGCTCAAGTACCTCGACATTGCTGGAGCCAATCTCTCTGGCTTCTTACCAAAGCATTTCAGCAATCTCACAAAGCTTGAATCTTTGTTCCTCTTCAGGAACCATCTTTCTAGAGAAATCCCATGGGAGCTTGGACAAATCACTTCTCTTGTTAACTTAGACCTCTCAGACAACCATATCTCTGGAACCATACCAGAGAGTTTTTCAGGTTTGAAGAATCTCAGGCTTTTGAATCTTATGTACAATGAAATGAGTGGGACTCTCCCTGAAGTAATTGCTCAGCTACCTTCTTTGGATACTCTCTTTATATGGAACAATTACTTTTCTGGGTCACTTCCCAAAAGCTTGGGGATGAACTCAAAGCTTAGATGGGTCGATGTTTCTACCAACAGTTTCGAAGGTGAAATCCCACAAGGTATTTGCTCAAGAGGTGTTCTTTTTAAGGTCATTCTATTCTCCAATAATTTCACTGGAACTCTGTCTCCATCTCTCTCCAATTGTTCAACGCTTGTTCGTATCCGGCTTGAAGATAATTCATTCTCAGGTGTGATCCCTTTTAGCTTTAGCCAGCTTCCTGATATCTCATACATAGACCTCTCAAGAAACAAACTCACAGGAGGCATTCCTTTAGATATATCCAAAGCTACTAAACTTGACTACTTCAATATCTCTAACAACCCTGAGCTAGGAGGGAAACTTCCACCGCAGATTTGGTCTGCGCCTCGTCTTCAGAACTTCTCTGCATCATCCTGCAGTATCTCTGGTAGTCTCCCTGAGTTTGAATCCTGCAAAGCGATCACTGTTATTGAATTGAGCAACAACAATATATCAGGGATGTTAACACCAACTGTTTCCACTTGTGGCTCTCTTGAGAAGATGGATTTAGCTGGAAACAGAATGACAGGTAGGATTCCTGAGAGATTCGCAAAGCTTCCACATTTGAGAGTCTTGGATTTGTCACACAATAACTTGAGTGGTTCCATCCCATCTGACAAAGTGTTTCAATCAATGGGGAAACATGCGTACGAGAGCAATGCAAACCTCTGTGGGCTTCCTCTGAAATCATGTTCAGCTTACAGCTCAAAGAAGCTTGTGTCTGTTCTAGTAGCTTGTCTAGTCTCTATCCTGCTAATGGTAGTTGCAGCTTTGGCATTGTACTATATTCGTCAAAGAAGTCAAGGTCAATGGAAGATGGTGTCTTTCGCGGGACTCCCTCATTTCACAGCAGATGATGTTTTGAGGAGCTTTGGTTCACCTGAACCTAGTGAAGCAGTTCCAGCTTCAGTGAGCAAAGCAGTTCTGCCAACAGGAATAACAGTCATAGTGAGAAAAATCGAATTGCAAGACAAGAAGAAGAGTGTTGTTTTGAACGTTTTAACGCAGATGGGGAATGCAAGACATGTAAATCTGGTCAGGTTGCTGGGGTTTTGTTACAACAATCATCTTGTGTATGTGCTGTATGATAATAACCTGCATACCAGGACTCTAGTTGAGAAAATGAGGACAAAGAAGAAAGACTGGGCAACTAAGAAGAGGATCATCACTGGTGTTGCTAAGGGACTATGCTTTCTTCACCATGAATGCTACCCTGCAATTCCCCATGGAGATGTGAAGTCTTCTAATATATTATTCGATGACGATAAGATAGAGCCCTACTTGGGTGAATTTGGGTTCAAATACATGCTACATTTGAACACAGGTTCTTACCATGAAACACGAAATCTCTTAGCACTAATCATTTGTATATCCTCCTTTGTTCTTCCTAACATTAGACTCTCTAAAGCAGATCAGATGAACGATGTAATAAGAGCGGAGCAGCAAAAGGACATTTACAACTTTGGAGAACTCATTTTGGAAATCTTAACAAATGGTAAGCTGATGAATGCTGGCGGATTGATGATACAGAACAAGCCAAAGGATGTTCTTCTACGAGAAGTATACACAGAAAACGAAGTGGGTTCAAGTGATTTTAAACAAGGAGAAGTTAAAAGAGTTGTTGAGGTCGCACTTCTCTGCATGAGAAGTGACCAGTCTGACCGTCTTTGCATGGAAGATGCAGTGAGGTTCTTGTCTGAAGCAGAGAATAGGTTTAAATAGGTAATAAGGACAATGTTTAAATGCACATAGTGTCTCCTCCCCTATAGATATAGTAAAAGGGATTCCTTATATATAGTATTGTACCAAAACGTTCTCTTTCTTTCTTTTATGGTCAGATGTGACTTCTTATGATGTTGTTCTTGTATTACTATACATTCAATAAATGAAATGAAGATTGCAAATTCTTAGCTTTATATACAAGACTTATCTGGTTTATGCAAGAACCGATTAGGAATACTCAGATGGCTCAGTTGTGTATAGCCAGCAGACACGAGGTACTCCATCCACCCCCAGAACTGAAGTCATCGAAGCAGTTCTGCGTTTTGGCAAGTGAACCTGCTTTGTGCCATTCATAACCAATACTCCCACCACCCCCAATGTTTGCAAAGCAGAAAACAACACCGAGATGCTTGCTAAGCACAATGCGGCTTCCACTGAAAGACGGTGGTATGCTTATGTTAAACCAATATCTACAGGTAAGTAGAGAAGCAAGGTACAGTACTCTTTATTTGTTAAGTAAACAGAACATGATGAGACTTAGGAACCCAAAACTAATAATTCAAGTTCTAGATAAAGATTATCGGGTTTACCAAATTGAGCAACAGTTTGAAGCCATGACCATCATTTAAAAGAGAAAAAGGATCAAATTGGTTCACTGACAGATCACAGATATATGTCGGATACTGATACCCATAAATAAAAAGCATTTAGCTGCTGCGTATTGATGTTCCATATTTTACAATTTAACCACTGACTAACTTAGAAGTTCCTAAAACTACAACAGTTCCTTTTTAATCAACACATCTCTACGCAACTCACACTTAATACAAAAATTGTAGGTATTCTCTGTCTTTATAATTTATACCCTTCGTTTTCCCCATCTTTTTCCGGTGTCTAAACCAACCAGCCTTGAAGATGATGGAGCAGGTGATGGACCTTCTATACCAACAGACTCTGGAATATCCAGATTCGCTTGCATTGATTGCCCAGATGCTACTAGTGACTGTTCTTGTGCATCGTCGATCTGATGCAATTCTATCCTAGCTTTTGCAACCTGCAAGCAGTAACAAGTAGAGTGTGTTATATAAATTCTTGCTTAAGATCTTACTTATTGCAATAACAAATAGAAGAGGGATCAATTGGTCTTCACCAGTTCAATGTGATGAATTGATCCACGCGCTTCAGCAAGTCTACTCTGCAACTCATCCCATTTCTTCTTCCGGAATTCTTCGTTCTCCATCTCGTTCCCTTTCTCACCCAACTGCTGATACAGAGCTGTATTCACCAAATCACATGATATGCTCAGAGCTTAAGACATACTGTTTTTTTTTAGCTCAATTCTGTTTCGACAAAACTTTAATAATAACCTGTGAAGATGGATAGAACCCATAGCTGAGTTGGGATATCATAGAGTTTCTTTGCAAGTGTAAGAGAGGAACGCAAAATCTCTCTGGCTTGTACGGTGTCATGCAAGGAAAGAGCTAAATTTCCCAGGAGTGTCAAATACTGTGCAACTAGCTGCAGGTTACCCATATGATTGTGCGCGATCTGCAAACCCTTGGCAAGACGGTTTCTGCATTGATATCATACATTATATTGGAGCATATATCATATTTTCACATACTACGGATTTAGTGAATATTCTTGATATACGTAGTTCTTTCTCTTCCTGTGAACACAGATAAAGCGCATCATCCTGCTCTCATATGGTTTTCTATAATCATTATCACTGGAGACTAAAAACGGTAGGGGTCTCAACAGCTGAGACAAAGAACCAATGGGCAAGTATATTTAAAGCAAACCACCTTTGACAAACTGAGAAACGAGCACATACCTTGCTTCCTGTAGATCTCGTTGCTTCATCAAGAGGAGACCATAAGCAAAGAGAATACTAGCTTCCTCTCGAACACCAGATAGTGAATTCGTCATTCCATTGAGTGGTCCAATTAAATCAAGTGCCTAAAGACAAATCAGAGGATTGAAAGCAGTCTTCTTAAGCTCCGGCAATATAGCAAAGCAAGTATAAACATCCAATTAACTGCATGAAAATGTTAAACCTTAGATGATGATTCAGCATCTCCAATAGTAAGGTAAGAAACAGCTGCAAATGCTTGACACGAAGCTTGCATTGATATACTCTCCGTCAACTGAAATAACATTTCATATGAGAAATCGCCATGGGCAGCAAAAAGGTAAACATGTTGACCAATATTAAATAGGTACATAAGACACCTCATTCCAAAACTAAGCAACTATCTATCATATACATAAGGTTATAAGTTTTACCTTGGTCGCTTCAATACAATGGAAAGCAGCTTCACTGTAGCAACCCACAGAATGAGAATATTGCCCCCTGAGCATCTCAATCACACACTCAGAAGCTTGCAAAATCGTTGGAAATCTAGTAAACAAATTTTTCATCTCAACCAAAGCCTGCGCAATTCGCAAACGATATTTAGTGTTAAAGTTTCCTTCAAGAAAGCATGATGCCAGAGAACGGCTATTACGACCTAACGTGAGGGGAACTCGATCAATTATGCATAGTTCCATATTGTTCTGGTTAACTTAGATAAATAAGAAGGCTCTATATCACCGTGGCGTGGTGAAGGGAGGAGAAACAAATATAGGAAAAAATAACCAATGATTTACCTCTTCAGCTTCGACATAATCAGACCTTGTCAGTTCCAAAGCCACTCTATTCTCAAGAAACTGCATCTGTAGCATAAGAAAAACCCTAGACATCCAGATAGCTGTGTGCCGCAAATCAGCTTCTGCCGAAAGAGAGGAACAAGAAGAAAGAAAATGTGAGCTTCAACATTAAGAATCGTTGCTTCAACTAAGTGTAGTTACAACAGAGAAGTAGATTGAACCTCTAACTTCGTCAGTAATTCCAAGCTTGATCAGTTCATCTGCATAAAACATAGCAAACACACAACATGTCATGCCATGAGATGGAATCCCCTAAGCTACTTAGTTGTGTTCCTAAGAAGCAGCTGGCTAATTTCCTCGTAGAAGCCACATACTAAGAGAATGGATCACTTACTACACTGATTCAATTCTGAGGCAAAGTGGGTTTTCTGGTGATTTCAGTGAAACAAAAGAAAAGAGGAGAGTATCTAGTGCAGACAAAATGCAATAGTACGAAGTGAATTAAGAGATAATAGGAACTTCAGCTGCTAAGGATAAAAGAACAACCTTGAATGATCTGCAATCCAGACTCGATACGTTTTGAACACTCTTTAAAGAGTCCCTTTGGACGTCCCGATATGACAACCATAAGATGGACCAAAGCATAGATGGCACTTTTTGGTAGCCACTCTCCATCAATTGGAGATGGTGAAAGCAGTAGCCTCTCTGTCCATCCACGATCTATGTTGCCAAAGTATGCGGGCTCCAGAGAGTTATCAGTGGTAGAAGATGGAGATACTGCGTTTACACGATCTTGAAGCTGAGATTGTCTTGCGGAGAGGGCCGATCTTTCTCTGGAGGGAAGATCGTAACGGGAGAGACTAAGATTTAACGAACTGAGCTCATCCAGAAGTTGCTGAATCTCCTGCATTTTATGCGAATGAGCATTCATGGCCTGGTCCAAGCGGTCGACATGATGCTGAGCGTTCTTATAATCGCAGAGCCTGAGGCGATAGAAAACATGCAACATCTCATTGTAGAAGAACAAACCGGGGCAGCGATCAGTCTACAGATAACAGGGGAATCAGCTGACTCAGGACAAACCAAGCAAAGCAGAAGTTAAGTGAGCAAAAAATAAATTTTCGTATGTACTGTAACATACCTTGTCTGAAGAAATGGTCTGCCAGATCTCATCGCATCGCTGGACAGCCTTTTCCACTGAGTAATCATCAGTCCATTGCATGATATGAACGTGAAGCATAGAAGCTGTGAAGAACATCTGATTACAATACAGACTCAAATAATTAACAACAAAGATCGATCACCTATTTACCTGAACCTCAAACGCAAAAATAAACAAGAGAATATTTACCTGGAGCTCAGGAAAACATATGTGTGAAGCAGAGAGAAAACCAGACTCGAGAGCGGAGAGAGAAGAAGGAAAATCGGCTTGGATAATGAACGTGTTAGCGAGCTGAGAATTGAAATTGCAAGACCAGAGGTAGGCAGAAACATCCTGAGGGACAGAAGATGCGAGTTCGAGAGCCTTGAGGAGAAGGTTGCGTTGAGGAGGGAATGAAGCAAGGAGGTGATAACAGTGGCTGAGTAAGCTATAAGTCCGAAATTTGAGGTCATAGGAGGAAGGAATAGACTTAAGGAGAAGAAGAGAGCGCTCGAGATGGGACTTGGCCTGACTGACATTGTGAGAGTAACGGAGTAAAAGAGCAGAGACACGGAGGCGAGACTTGACTTCAACAAGAGGAAGGAAAGAGATTTGACTCTGGCAGATGGCTTCCAAGCACTTTATGGTTTTTCCGATGTCACCAAGCTTCTGGTGGTGATCCGCTAATCCCCACAGCCCTTCCGCCACTGCAGCACCTTCCATAGCTTTCTGCTACTGATCGAGAGAGAAGCGAAAGATAAAACTCATAAGAATCAATAAATCCAAAACATGTCAAGAAGTCTGCAAAAGAAAGTATCACATAACAAAGAAATCATTAGAATGATCTATAGTGAGTGACCAACACCACACACACTTGAGATGATGAAACAAGAAATCACAAATACCACAGATCAATTAAAAATTCCAACAGTCACCTAAAAAAAATGCTCCTTTAAAACAGCCCTAGAAGCAGAGTAGAAAGAAAAAGAAGTAATTGTACCATTTCCTACTCTTCGTAAAGCTAGATGTTGTTTGTAATCAACAAGAAAAAGATATACACCGGCAGAAAGAGATAGAGATAGTACCAGTCGTTAACAGTGCTTGAGTGGGATTGAAACACAAACACAAGAATTAGCTCCTATGTCACTACCTTAAGGAGATAAAGTTCTCTACTTTGTTCATTATCAATTGACCAAAACTCTTTCAGGAGTTTCATCGAACAATAGGTATGCGCAACAAGACCCAATCCCTTAGCTAAAAGCTAAACTCTAAACTGTTTCCATCATAACTCAAATTGATCCGAACCGTAAACCCTTTTGAAAGCCTTAGAAAACACATACCACGTTCTCGGTGATCTAGGCCGTGAATTGGGTCGGAATTTAACCAGTGTGGCTCATCGAAATCATGGGTCCGACTGGTTTTGCTATCGGAATCTTGCTTGGGCTCGTCGACTCTTTGTTTGACCAGTGTTTTTGTTTTGACTTTCAGATTAGGCAAGTACGAAGCTTATGCGCTTCTGCAATCGAAACAAGGGGGAAAATCTGTACTTTGACTGCTGAGTGACTTGAGCTCTTTGGTCCGGACCGGAGAAAGTGGAAGACGACAAAGCACTGACCTTTCTTCTTCTCTCGACGATCGAAAAATTCACTCTTTTTCCTCATCAGATCCGACCCGTTATAAAGGTATCCAGACCCGTTTATATTGATCCATACCATATCCCCAATCTCAGCTTAGATTAGATTGGCCCATTTAGGCCCGTTTACGTTTTTTTCTTAATTAGTATCTTTTAACATCTTACATTATATTTGATTTTTTTTTGGAAAAATCACATTTTTAACCCTCAAAGTATTACTTGGTACCATTTTAAACCTCAAAAGAATTCCACTAACACTATAAACCACCAAAATAATTTTACTAACACTTTAAACCTCCAAACTAGCTTTCATGTTTGGACCGCCATAAAATATGATGGAACAATTAATTTATGTTGGTTTAATATAAATTTATTTAATTTAATTTGAATTTTAGTTAATTTTATTATTTATTATGATTTTACAGTTATTAAGAAAAAAAGTAGATTCCTCCGATACGGAGAATGCTTCGTTTTCTGACTAAATTTTGATATTCTTTAGTTTTTATTATTCTATTTAACCTTATATTGTACCTCATATTCTACGTTATTTGGTTTATATTATTATACTATAAAATTATTGTGTGCTTAAGTATATAGTTTCAAAGGTTTAATTTCGAAATTTAATGGTCAAACGATGAATAAACAAAGAAGGTGAAGTTTTTTTTTAGTTTTTTTTTAATTGTAATAAATAATAAAATTAATATCAGTTTAAATTAAATTAAATAAATGTATACTAAACAAATAGAAATTAAATTTTCCATCATTTTTATGGTTGGACAAACAGAAAAGCTAGTTTGGAGGCTTAAAGTGTTAGTAAAATTATTTTGGTGGTTTATAGTATTAGTAAAATTCTTTCGAGATTTAAAGTGTTACCCAGTAACCCTTTGAAGGTTAAAAATGTGTTTTTCCTTTTGATTTTTCTTAAATTATTTTTAAGAGATATCGATGGCCGTAAAAATGTAAATGGACTGAATTATATAATGACTTTATATGTACAAAATACAATAAAGTTTAAGCGAATTGTTTCATCTGACTAAAATATAGCAGTAGGTTTTTCGAGTAATTATGTCATTCATGTAGACAATAACAATGAAGTAATTACCTATAGCAAATGCATTAACTTTTGGCACAAATAACTTTTTGAAATTCATCTCTACTTAATATATACACACACCTACACACATGTGTATGATTTATACATTCTAAAGAATTTCATGATTATAGAGAGTGCTTAGTGATTCGATGTCCTCGTCGCACTCCTCACTCATGAGATAGATTATAAGGCCCTAGATTATATTTGATTGGAAACAAATTTTCAAATTAGTTCAAATTTATCGCATGTTTGTTCGTAAGAAACAGAGTTTTGTTGATTTTCCAAAAAATTAACATAATTCATTATCGCATAAATCACATTTCATTTCATCAGAAAATAATCATATGTAATTAATTAGTTCTGCGGTTTGTTAAATAATTCACTTGTGACAAAAAGAAATTCCTCACGTGTGTAGTCGGTCCCCACTCTAGTAGCAGTAGCTTATGATGCCTTCTCCGCGCGTGTAACACGAAAAATTATTCACTACGGCCGGTTCTATTAACCTTCACGTCTCATCACCGTTAAAACATATCTAAATTTCAAAACAACACACGTGTCATCAATCCGTCATATCACTGAGTGTTCTTCATTGTAGACGATTTATTACACCCAATTCCGCGAACGAACACAGTTAGATACAGTTTGAGGGCAAATCTGTCAATTATCGCCAACTTGCTGCGGAAGGAAAATAGTCACGTGACACACACACGCATATGAGACTCACTCACAACACTCTCTCTCTCTCTCTCACCTCATATATAAAGCCACCTCCAGATTCATTAAATGCGACATTTCAAAACTTTTCTTTTTTCCGTCTTCCCCATAATCTCTCTGCAGATAAAAAAGATTTTCTGGTAAAAATCAAAATTCTTCAAATATTTCTGGGTTTATGTTTTCTCGCTTTTGATTCATAAATATAAAATTTTCCATTTTATTCATAAATGCTCACACAGGCTCAGATTTGTTTTTTTTTTCTTTCGCCGTCGCTGATTTTGATTTTATTTTTTTCCGGTGAAAAGGAGTAACGAAGATCATCGAGAGACGAGAGCAAAAATCATGAGTGTAAGATCTTTCTCTCTGAGATTTATTTTTTCTTTTTGCTGTGTAAATGGCTCAGTCTCTCTATTTACTCTAATGATGAGAAAAATAAAATCAACACCGCTTGATTCTGTTTCCTTTGTGTCTCCCACGCGCGTACCAGAAAGCGCGTGTGTGTTTTTCTTGTTATACTCGCATAGTCAGCTTTTTTCAAATATATTCTCTCCAGGCAGCAACAACAACAACAAACCGATTTTTTCATTATTCCTTAAAACGATTTCCATTTTTGATTCACCAGAAAGAAAAAAAAAGTGAACCTCTCTGAGTTTTCTTCCTCTACAGGGAACGATGTTCGTGAAACGAAATCCGATTAGAGAAGCCACCGCCGGGAAAAACTCTCCGCCGTCGTCACCGACTTTGAATGGTAAATAACTGAAGCTATAGTTTCTTCGTGTCTGTTGATTTTTCTCGCTTTTCTTCTAATTTCTGATTTTTTCTTTGGTTTTCTTCTTCCAGTTGCAGTCGCACATATAAGAGTTGGATCTTATTACGAAATCGATCCTTCGATTCTTCCTCAGAGATCGCCGGAGAATCTTAAATCGATTAGAGTCGTCATGGTATTCACTCGATTCTCTGCTTTTTTCACCTTTGATTAGAGACAGATCTCGTTATTTGTTGTTCGTCTGGGTTTTCGAGTGAGTTTTGGGTTTTTTGTTGAAGGTTGGCAAAATCACGGCGAGCGATGTGTCTCTCCGGTACCCAAGCATGTTTTCACTCCGATCGCATTTCGATTACAGCAGGATAAACCGGAATAAACCGTTGAAGAAGAGGAGTGGTGGTGGTCTTCTTCCTGTTTTTGACGAGAGTCATGTGATAGCTTCGGAGCTAGCTGGAGACTTGCTTTATAGAAGAATCGCACCTCATGAGATTTCTATGAATAGAAATTCCTGGAGTTTCTGGGTTTCTGGTTCTTCTCGCAGGAACAGATTTCCACGAAGGGAGATGGTTTCTCAACCGGCGTATAATACTAGGCTCTGTCGCGCTGCTTCACCGGAGGGAAAGTGCTGGTCTGAGCTGAAATCTGGAGGGATGATTAAGTGGGGAAGGAGATTGCGTGTGCAGTATCAGAGTCGGCATATTGATTCTAAGAAGAATAAGGAAGGTGAGGAGAGTTCTAGAGTGAAGGATGAAGAGGTTTGCAAAGAAGAGATAGAGAAAGAGGATGGTGATGATGGGAATGAAACAGAAGGCACTAAACAAGAAGATGCAAAGGAGATAACTGATGGAAATCGTAAGAGAAAGTTTATTGAATCAAGTACTGAGAGACTCGCTCAGAAGGCTAAGGTTTATGATCAGAAGAAGGAAACTCAAATCGTGGTTTATAAGAGGAAATCAGAGAGGAAATTCATTGACAGATGGTCTGTTGAGAGGTAAAATGCATGATTTAACGAATTTTATGATCTCTGAAATTGGATTTTCCTTGGTTCTATTGATTGATTGTGGTTAATTTTGGGATTTGAAGGTACAAACTAGCTGAGAGGAACATGTTAAAAGTGATGAAGGAGAAAAATGCAGTGTTTGGCAACTCCATACTCAGGTCAGAGTTGAGGTCAGAAGCAAGGAAGCTGATTGGTGACACGGGCCTATTAGATCATCTGCTTAAGCACATGGCTGGTAAGGTGGCTCCTGGAGGTCAAGATAGGTTTAGGAGAAAGCACAATGCAGATGGGGCAATGGAGTATTGGTTGGAGAGTTCTGATTTGATTCACATAAGGAAAGAAGCAGGTGTTGAAGATCCTTACTGGACTCCTCCACCTGGTTGGAAGCTTGGTGACAACCCTACTCAAGATCCTGTCTGCGCTGGAGAAATCCGTGACATCAGAGAAGAATTAGCTAGCCTGAAAAGGTAAAAAAGTTATTGAATTGGTAATATGATCATCTCTCTTTTGTTGTCTTATAGAAATTGTAACTCATGTCTGTTTTGGTCTTGAGAAGAGGATTGGAGAAACTCGCATCAAAGAAGGAAGAGGAGGAGCTTGTTATCGTGACTACACCTAATTCTTGTGTTACTAGTCAGAATGATAATCTGATGACTCCAGCAAAGGTAAGAGCTCGAAACAATAACTGAGAATCTCTCTTGTGATACTGTTTTATCCTACTTTGTGAACATCTCTGCTGCTTCATCTCAGGAAATCTACGCTGATCTGCTAAAGAAGAAATACAAAATTGAGGACCAGCTAGTGATAATTGGAGAAACCTTGCGTGAAATGGAGGTATGTATATCCTCAGATTGAGTTTCTAATTAGACACAAACACTCTTCTTACTAGTTTTAGCTAAACCCTTACTTAAAATGTAAAATCTTGATTTAGTAACTAAACCCTTACTTAAAATGTAAAATCTTAAAATGCAGGAAGACATGGGATGCCTAAAGAGAACCGTGGACGAAAACTATCCTAGAAAACCAGACTCAACAGAGACACCTTTGCTACTAGAGGATTCACCACCAATACAGACACTAGAAGGAGAAGTGAAGGTAGTGAACAAGGGTAACCAAATCACAGAGTCACCTCAAAACAGAGAAAAAGGAAAGAAGCATGATCAACAAGAACGATCACCACTTTCACTTATAAGCAACACTGGTTTCAGAATCTGCAGGCCTGTGGGGATTTTCGCATGGCCCAAATTGCCTGCTCTTGCTGCTGCTACTGATACTAATGCTTCTTCGCCAAGTCACCGACCAGCCTACCCATCTCCTTGTCCAGTCAAGCCACTTGCAGCTAAGCGTCCTCTCGGCTTGACATTTCCCTTCACCATCATACCCGAAGAAGCTCCCACAAATCTATTCAACGTTTGAAGCTGCCATCGCAAACTGATGCATCAGATCTTACTTCCCATACAAGTAATCTGATGTGAATTGGTAAGGTCTCTCTTCCATGAAAGATTCAATAACTACAAGCGAGGAGGTATTTAAAAGGGAAATATCACTTTATTATTATATAAGGAACTATATATATGGGAATAATTTGGCAAATTTTGAAATTCTTCCTCTTTAATTTAGGGATTTTATGTCTCTGATTATTAAGTATATATAGAGAGAGATGGTTTGAATAGAGAGGCTTATCATAGGAATATATTATTTTGAAAGACAAGGATCATCATATTCTGTATTACTGAACAATCATACATATAAAAGTAGGGTTTCACTCTCCCATGATTGGTCCACTTGGCAATTCACTTTTTCAAAAAAAATTATAATAATATTTATGTCTTACTAAACCACAAATACAACACATTTATTCATATACATTAATCTATCATTTAATACCAAATTGTAACCATCATACAAATGGTGTATTAATTGTATTTCCCCACTCAATGTTATTCAATCACACTATAAATTCAAATTGTAACTCCTATGATTTAATTACTATCAAAATGTATCTTCCATCACTTTCTATACTATAAATAATCATTCTCACATCTTCTTCCACCATATCTCAAATCCTAAATATTTTCTTTGTTTTTGTGTTGTTGCATGAGTTGAAAAATCAATTGAGACATCATTGTAAAGGTTTGATTATAAATTTTGTTTTTAAAGACTATAAGGTATATATTTTACATTGTTTTCAATTTTATTTTTATTCTAATGTCTTACTTGAATATACTTATTCTTTCTTTAATTTTCATATTTTCAATTCAAAACTACAAATGTATAATAATAAATTTGATGGCTATAATTTCTGATCTTAATTCAAAATTACACACTTTGCAGATTTAACAATGAAGTTTTCAAATATCAATTCAACCATTGCACAAGAAGAAAATCAAGTTGAGAAGATCCATCTCTATTTTCTACAATAAATAAATTATTGTAATATCAAATAATATTTTTGTTAAATTTCTTAGATACTTCTTTCTTATCTCAAATAATGTTTTGTATTATTTTTAATATACTCATCAGATTAATTTTTGTGATCCAATAAATAATTATATAAAAATCATTAACTAAAATGTTTATTCTCTTCAAAGCTTGTGGTTTAAGTTAATTTCTAAAATAAAAGAATTTATTTACAAAAATTTATAATCCAACCTAGCAATTTAAATCATATAAATATTTAAATTGAGTTGAATATAAAAAATATTTAACATAAATATCTTAATGTTGTATAATTAAAATAAATAATAGTGTAACAACATTTTTTGTATATCTAGAAAATACATTATATGACTTTCACTCTCTGGTTTTTAATATTTTCAAATATTTAATATTATGATATAATACTATCTATTATTAACTCACAATTAAATTTATACGTAATTTGCATACAAAATAATTATAAGAACAACAAAACGCCACTAAAATCATTGACCATAATTTTAATTTGAATGGTTTTCCTACTAATTTTACAAAAAACTGTAACTCCCTAAATGTATTTATTTTCTAAAAATAACTTCCAATACTCATCATCCTACAAATAATATTTCTTTCATTTTCCTCCACCAATATCTCAAAAATTTAGTATATGCATAATGATCTAACGTATATATATATATAATTTATTTATTCAAGGTTTGTGGTTAATAATATCATTATTATTTTAATTTTAATTAAAACGGTTCAATAATCTTAATTAGTAGTAAAAGTTTTATAAAGGTGAAATATCTAAACTAAATTTTATCAATATAACTTGAATTGCGTGGGATAATGAGAAAGAAAGAAAATAGTTTTTATATTCTCCAAATATTATATATATATATATATATATATATATATATAGTTTTTACTCAAAAATTATTTAACTTTTTATTATTGTAAATCAATCAAACGAGTTTTACATGAACAAACGAACAAAAAGTTTAAATACCATATTAATAGATATATGTAATTTTATTCCTATTTATAATTAAATTTAGTCGAATCATCTGATTGTTACACTATTATTAAAATCTATACAAAAACAATAATAAGTCACGCGTAGCGTGGCTACATATACCTAGTTTCTATAATGATATAGTTATATATACTTATTATTCAATTCCTAGAGCTTTTGATTTTAAATCCATTTTTATGCAAAATTGATTTTGAAGCCTTTTTTTTAATATGCATTTGAATTTCATTAAAGAATAATGAGAATGGTTTGTAGAATATACAAAAAAGCTTAACCTAATAACTATTTCTTGACAAAAAAAGTTTTTAAAAAAAATAAAAACAAGAAAGAGCTAATGCAACAACAAACTGATTTGAATTAATTAGCAACAACAAACGATAATAACTATCACGTAACCAGTGTCACTTTAAAAATCTTTCTCTTTGGGATAATTTGTGACTTTTCACAATGTATGAATTCTTATGGTCATTCTACTAATAATACGTATAATTTATGAATTCTTATGGTCATCTACTAATAAAGTAATAATACGAATGTTATACTTTCAAAATTTAAAGAAAAAAATAGGAATACTTTTTTTTTCCCTTCCATTTCTCTTCCCGCGTTTTGTTGTTCGACCGATCTTGTGGTACATATGTTCTAATTTGAACGTCGAAATAAAACTATAAAATAAAAAAATAAAAATCTCATCTCGAAATTTCCTAACCATTTGATGGTGCAGGTTTAAGTTCGCTCTCATAAAACCAAACCCGTTACATTATTTAGACTAATTCTGCTGCGAAAGACGACACACCAATGTTACTTGAATCCACGTCAAAAGATCTAGAAATCACACCTAAGAAAATGGTCATGCAATATGGTTAATGCAACACTCGACTAACTTTCTTTTCAAAGATTTGCAGTTTTGCACAATTTAAGTGATGATAAGGTGTATAATATATGTGTATCCAAAAAACATAACAAGTTTTTTTATAATTTTAATTATATATCTAAAATATAGAATAGTTAATTATAAAATCAGTGAGAAATAAATTTAAAAGAAAGCAATATGTTGTTTGCCAAATTGACATTTCTAAATATTGTGGCGTATTTACAAATTTTAGTAGCTACTTGTGATTTATTTGTTTCAAGTTGTAAATTTAAAACATATCATATGTACCAAAATCAATTATAAATACAAATAATTAAATCATATTTATGTAGAAAGAGTCTCACTCTGATAGTCAATCACTTGTGCGTAAAGATATTTGACGAAATGGGTTACAAAAAAATGGCCAGCACAGCATCATCATGTCTCGACTCTCGACCTTATATTATAAGATTTGTGTTTTTCGTCCATAATTGTATATAACCGTAGACTTAACTTATATTAAATATTTTTGCACAAAAAAATAAAATTATATTAAATATTATACAATATAATGGTAATTTCATAAGCATCCCACACCTGGTTTATGTGGAAATAAGTATAACCTAGATAACATATATTCCATCCGTATGAAACAGAATAGATAACAAAATATTTCACAAACATATACGTACATACGTTTTTATTTTGCTAATAATATATACATATGTTTGTTTTCTGATTCTAGAATTTGAATCTAAATCTTTTTTAAGAAAACGTTAAGTTTTTTTTTTTTTTTTGTTAAAATGCAAACTTTAAGTTCTCACTCTACTCTCTTAGTTTTCCAACACTAAAATAAAAAAACCGACGTTTGATAAGCAAATCAGACCAGTTCTTAAATCATGCATTCAGAAAATTATCAAAGTACTAACTAATGTTTTTTAAATCATTCAGTAGTTTCGGCTCAGTAGTTTCGAACTGAAGCCTTAGCATGGAATTTTTTATGTTGGAAATGAAATATATTAACTCTACTTATGTATGGTCTGTATAATCTATAATTTTTTAGGTTTTGATTGGTAATTACGCACATTGTTGTGATATAAAGTATACTGCTCTAATAAATACTATTCACAAAAGTAATACCAAAAATATTACTTTTATTTTTTTGTATCGTTTTTTTTTGTACTGTCTTTTAAGCGTTTACTATTATTTTTTGTCCACTTAAATAAATTGTACCGTTTTATGTTATTAATGGAGTTTTTAGTGTAATTGGAAAATGGGGAAAGAGGGAAGTTAATTTGACAACCACATATGAGAAATATTTGAAAAAATAATGAAGTTTAAAGTTGGCAACCACATCAGAAATAATTAGTTTAAGATTATCGAGAATGAGGAGTTCCAAACTTCCTATAGAGCCGGAATGGAGCAGATCAGCTAGCTGTATGTATTTGACCTTATTATTTAATCAGCATAGGAACTGTTTTTAATGTCATTTAAATAATTCAATCTCTGTTCATATTCTCATTATTTTAAGAAAAAAATATCAATATTTAAAAGAAAAATTCTCAAAGACAACTGTAGGCTTTCCCTTTACCATTTTATTTCGGCTGAGTTCGTGACAATTAAAAAAATGCTTTGTGTCAAGGGGACAAATAAACAAAGTTTTCATTGCTTAAAGACTTTGTAATCTTATAATAACCACATCTTACTTAACATTGATACTAATATATACATAAAAAAACTATGATTAAATATTATAGTGTTTTGAAAACTGATTAATTTAGATGGTCTTTTAAGTGCTAGCCCACCACTCAATTTCTATTAATTTTATCAAATAAAAACGATAATATGTTTTTCATTTTATCATATAAAGTCAGATGATCAACTAGGCCTAGAGTTTTTGTGCATAATGATATACTACAATTTCGAAATGTGTTAATATAGAAAATTTTGTATAGAAAATATTGATTACTTGTGTTATATCTTAGTTAATATAACTCCTAAGACTTCTATAGTTTTGTTTTTTCTTCACACTGTTTCGAATGCGATCGTTTTAATCAGGGTTAAAAAAGGTGACTTAACTTCAAAAGGTGAAGCAGTGACCATTTTAAAAACTCAATGTTTAAGCATTTTCCCCTGATTTTATAGCGAAAAATAATCCCACTAAAATGGACGAACAAGAATCTCGAGTTCTTTTAAATTATTCATTACTTTCTTTAAGGGCCAAACATCTTAAAATGTTGAAATAGTTGGTTTTGATTATTGCAACGACACAGATTACTTAGCAATAGCATCTAGAGT